AAGCTCACCCAGGAGTTAACGACTAAGGATCCTCAAGATCAAAGTAATGAGGATAACCTTAGCTCCAAGCTCATAATCCAAGAAAGGGTAAGAGAAAGGGTCATCACATGTGGAATTCCACTCCAAGATATAGTCTCGAAAGTCGCACAAGAAGTCCCCATCATCAAGAATCAAACTAGGCAGATGATCCCTTCAACTCGTCCTTCCAAACTAACACAATAAATGATTCACACATGTGTGACAATGAATCAAACTCGCAAAAGCAAAATGGAATCGAGCATAAGCTCAACCAAGGCTCCGAAGCTAATGGTCTCCAAGTTCATGATAGTGAAGAATCCCTTGGTTCTGGAATTATTACTCTTAAGGAAACAATAGAGCAAATTCTTCAAGAAAACTTATTTCCTCAAAAACCAAATGAAGCTGATCTTTTAGAACTCTTCAGAGGCCCACCTGGACCACCTTCACCAGACTTCCTCGCCAACCCACCTATATAGGATGAGGAGTCAAGCTTACAAGATTTAATCGAGTCACCCTTTGAGATGAACCCAGTTATAGATGATGGAGAAGCAAAGAGCCCAGATTTGACTATTCCAAAAGATTTGACACCTCCACTAAAGTCGAATGAGCTCGAACCTTTAGAAATTATAAGGGGCTCACCCGAGCCACCTTCACAAGAATTTGTGGATGATTCGCCCATCTGAGACAAAGAACGAAATGTTGAAGACTGAATTGAGTCATCTCCTAAAGAAGAGGGATTTCCAGAGCTTAACTGGGGTAGGAGCACAACTCCGATAACCGGGGCACCCCCATATCAAGAAAGTTCATCTCATGAAGAACAAGTTCCTAACATAACAAAAATCCCTATAGGGGCAACCCCATCAAACTACTCAATAGAGGCAGTCTCTTCTCATGAAGAGAGCACAGCAAGGGCAGTTAATGAGATTGAGCCCTTATTTGTTAACTCCCAACATGTCATAAGGCCATCTAATGATAACTCAGTCACTCTTCTTGTGCGAGAGTCTCACCCGTACACAAAGTATTGAGAAAGAGCCTACTACAGAGTTAACCTCCAAAGAGCAACACAAAATCTTCAATGAAAAAGATAATCGAAAAGGAGTTGGGTGATCACTCACCCCTTGCAAATAACCAAATGGGGCATTCACGTCTCAAACTTCAAAAAGCATTAACGCCTTATGAGTAACATAAATAATCCCATCAACAGGAAAAATCTAATGAGCTTATCCATCCAAGCAAAAGATTGAGGGATTAGGAAACTGAAAGTGCTTCTTAGTCTGAAAATCAAAGTTCTAGTAGGGAAATTCAAAGGACAGATCCAACGGGAATTCGACGACCATTGTCAAAGAGATATTGGATGCTAACCTTGGGCAAGGAAAATCAAAAAATAATTGATATTGGAACCTCCCTGCCACTTGGAGAAGGGAACGATGATCGAATTCCTACATGATCTTTGTGTAAATTACCATAAAAAAAAAGAAAAAAGAAAAAATTAAAGGCAACATTGACTCTTATTCTTCCTCCTCCTCTTGTCATCGTCTTCTTCTTCAAAATTAAAAACAAAAAAAAATCCACTTGGCTGAAAATCCGAGAAGAACCCCAAGCGTTGAAAAAAAGGCAACCGGGCTGAACACCCGAAAGGAACCTCAGGGTGATGAAAAAATAAATAAAAAAGAAATCCGCTGGGCTGAAAATCCGAAATAAAACCCCAAGCGTTGGAAAAAAGGCTACTGGGCTGAACACCCGAAAGGGACTCGGGGCGACAAAAAAAAAATAAAAAAAGAAGAAGAAAGTCTTTTCTCTCTAAATATTTTATCTTCCTTCTTCCTGAGTCATAATGGTGTCAAGAGAAAAATCAATGAGCATTAGCTTGATGGAACATTGTTAAGGACCTCGATCATCTGGACTTGGAAAGGTGAATGGTGGAGGAACGAAATCGAAAATTCAAAGAGATTCTGAACACCCAAGGACAGTATCCTGTATTTTCAAGACTATGTTTTGCTCGGAAACTCCAGAGAACTCTCCTTTGAATTGAAATACAAGTGTTGAGGTTGGAAGATAAATAAATACTTTATGATTCCTTGTCCTGAAGATTCAAGCAACGACCCAACATGCCCATATAGGGTCCACCAAAGGGGTCACAAGTGGTTAAACTGTAAGATCCATATTAAAAAAAATAAAAAAATCTTGAAAATTTCATTTCAAAACTTTTCTTTTAAAAAATGCTCCTTGATGGCACGAGCCTAAACTGCCAACCGATTTCAAAAGAAAAATCTTTCATTTCGAAAAAAAAAAAGATCAAAAAAAAAAAAATGCTCATTAGTGGCACGAGTCTAAACTGCCAACCACATTTCAGTTCAAAATGTCAATAGCCCGTATGACATAAAAGGTCAGGTGTATCCGTCTAACCCCGTATGACGTTAAAGGCTGGGTGTATTCAAAAAACATCTAGCCCCGTGTGACGTAAAAGGTCTGGTGCATCTGTCTAACCCCGTATGACGTTAAAGGTCGGGTGGATTCAGAAAATGCCTAGCCCCGTAGGACGTAAAAGGTCGAGTGTATCCGTCTAACCTCGTATGACGTTAAAGGTCGGGTGTATTCAGAAAATGTCTAGCCCCGTATGACATAAAAAGTCGGGTGCCTCTGTCTACCCCCGTACGACATAAAAGGTCGAGTGTATCTATCTAACCCCGTACGATGAAAAAGGTCGAGTGTATCTAGATGAAAAAGGTCGAGTGTATCTGTCATCAATGCATGATGTTAAGCTGCTTACAGGGCTCTATAATTGCAGGAGCTAAAACTGCTAACTAAAAATTGTTTTTCCAAAATATCTTTCTCATTTCAAAATTTTCATTATATGTCTTGTGTTTTCAAAAACTTTAATTCCTTTGTTAAAATCGTCACTTGTCCAAAGCTCCAAGTTCTATTTCAAAACTCCCCCCTTGTTTTCAAAATTTCTAAAAATACTTTTAAAAACGAATGAGCTTGGACACCCCGTATAATGATACCGCGTTGCTCCCTCATTTCTCTCTTTAAAATTGACCAGGCAAACCTTTTCCTGAACAAGTAAAACCTATAAAAGACCATAGGAAGCCCTAAGGGAATCAAAAAAAATGTCAGGTTTAAGAATTTGAAATTGTGAAAACCCGCGAAATTAAGTGACATGGCCAGAAAATCCAACTCAAGTTTCAAGCTTGTGTAACTCACCGACATCTCACATCGAAAACCCTAGGATGAAAATGCCTTAGGTGGGTGAGCGAGGAGCACAATGTCTTCGAGGGATAGTTGGTGTGCCCTCTAACCACGAAATGTCAAGATGAAATTTCAAATGTCTGCATTATCTTTGCCACTCACTTGCCCCATAAAGGACAGGGAGAGCCTAAGTGTCGACTTCTTTGCCACTCACCTGTCCCTCGAAGAACAGGGAGTGCCAAAGAGGAGCAACTGCAGACACCCTATTTTTAAAAACTGACAAATTCCGTGATTTTCCTAACCTTAGACAACCCTTAAGACCCTATTATTCCATAAAATCCCTTAACCATAGAACATCGTAGTCCATGGTCGCCATTTTAATCTATAAAAACACATTTTCATGCCTCTTTTAGGGTTAGACCATCTTAAGCTAAGAGAGAGCTGGAAACCCTACACCTGTAGAAACCCTGAGGCTTGGAGAGACCAAACCCAAGCCATTAAACCTGCAACCTTAAGCTTAGATTAGGTCCAAGATAACCATTCAACCAAGCCAGTGCTTGGTCAACATTGAAGAGAGACAAAAAGGACGCACGGTATAAACTTAGCCGGTCCTGATACAGGCGAGGCCTCGAAGCCTCGGTGCCCTAGGCCAACTAGCTCGACCAGGTATTTTCCATATCATCTGATGTTCTCTTATTTTTCACTTATTTTTGTTTGATTTATTATTTTATTCATTTTTTTTATTCAATTTTTCGTGCTTTTGGATAGATGCTAGCTCTACCACTGATCTGAGAGTCGATCTATTCGTTTTTTTATAGATCTAGTCTCAAATCAGAATTTAATTTTCCCCACTCTTTATCACTTTTAAAATCAGTTTGTGGTTCGGATCTAGTCAAATCTCATCTTGAGAACATCCCTATTTGCATCGTGAACAATAGTATTTGTGATCAGTTTCTTAAGCCTTGGCTCAGCGGTAGGCATATCAGTTTGGGTGAGGGAGGTCAAGGGTTCAAACCCTTGAAGTTTGTCCCGAAAAACCGAACACCCAGGCTTACCCTTCTGAGTATGATTCCTATAACTGAACAAGCCAAAAAAGAAAGACAATATTCCTATAGCTGAACTACCCAATAAAGAAAGACGGTATTCCTATAGCTGAACCCAAAAAAGAAAGACAATATTTGTGATTACCAGATTATTGACACCTAAGAGCATAAGTAACAAAAGCAAGAAAGGTATTATTGGCAACCCCTAGATAAATTATCTCTAATCTCATCCATGAAAGGAAATTGTAGTCTTGTTAAGCATATCATATTATTTGCACTAAATTGCCCCATGAGCTTGTTTGTTAATCATCACTTACCTTCTGGTAAGACCACAAGTAAAAAAAGCAATCAAATCCATAAATTTCATTGAACAGAATGTTTACTGGTATTCTATAACTATGTTGTCGGTCATTTGTTGCACGGAATTTCTTTTTTCATCCGAAAGTATTCCATTTATGTTGTTTACTTTTGTTACATTATAAACCATGAAAAAATTAACTCCACATTAACAGATTTGAATTCAATACAGCCATGACAAGCTTTAATGTCAAAAGCTACACAAACAACAACACAACTATGAAATTCAACCACATATATGTAAGAACAGTGGAATTTTAAATCTAGCATATACTTCTAACTCACCACAAAATGTTGTACATCAAAATTACAAACCTTAACCTTCAACACAAGGCAGATAAAATGAATATAAACATTAAAGATAATCTTCATAAGCCCAAACAACACACTTACAATGGAAAAGGTGCTTTGCCAACGTATCATTGGGCATATATTCAGCAACAAGCAACCTCTCATCACCCTCACAACAACAGCCAACCAAATTAGCCAATCTAACATTGCGTAGCTGGCCGACAGCCCTTGCTTCGTCCTACAAATGTGGTAAGAAACGCATTGCTAAGGAAAATTAAACACATTCACCCCACAATATTATAAACAAATATCCTATAAATACACAACAAAAAAGAGAACGGGATCTTCAATAGATGCCAGAGCAAAATGAACTGGTAGGAGAAGCAATACGGAGCAATTATCAAATAATTATATATGCAAGAATCTCCATAAAAGCATATTCTATTTGTAATTCAGCTGTTTGCAAGCTCCAAGCACATGAGAACCCTTGGACGTGAACAGATATATGGCATCCTCCAAAAGAGGAAGGGGCCCCTTAACTTTTCCTACCCAAATGAAGAAATCCTCTATAATGTGAGGGAAAGGATCACAACTAAAGAAGAATTTCAAGATAACCGTATGAAGTAACATATCATTATATTCATATTCATATTCCTTTACTTTGGAGGAGGAAATCCCTTGAATTGTTGGTATTGATTAGACCAATCTCTCCAAATGAGCCAAAAAAAGGAGCCAAATGAAATTTACATTCACATCATACACTACTTCATACGGCACGTATCTTACAATTATTTATAAGATTGAATTTTGGGAGGCTTCTCACTTGTATAGTCTTTCAAGCTACCACTTGGCATGCTCCAAGGAAGACGTAAACCCCAACATTTGCTTTCCCACATAGAGGGAAACAAAAAGAACAAATCCACATATTCATAGACCTTCAGACGAGATTAAATAAGATTATTAGGTCATTTCTTAGAGCTGCAAACTCTCTAGAATATATTTTGGTCTAAAACATGATGAGTCATAATAATTGGAAACCCCCTAGCCCCCAACTCAAAAGGGAAAATAACATCATCATCATCATCCTCCTCCGAGTCTAAAACATGATGAGTCATAATAATTGGAAACCCCCTGGTCCCCAACTCAAAAGGGAAAACAACATCATCATCATCATCCTCCTCCAAGCCTTATACCAATTATTAGGGAGAATAACAAAGCCTATAAAAGACATGATGATTACGCATAAAAAGGTAAAATCTTATTCCATATTCAGTTACTAAGAGGACTGGCCGGTCCAACTAGCTAAACAGGGAACCAGAAGCCCCACTAGTCGGACTGGGGGTTCTGGAGCAATGAGTTCTCGAACAAGATATTCTCTAGTTCGATGCCTGGACCAAACAGATCGATTGGTCCATATCGAGCTGCCTGCCACGACATGATCAGTAAAGACGGAAAAACGAAATTTCTTATTTTTTGACCATTTTTTACCTATTTTGGCCCCCTTTTTTGCCAGTTCACCCATTCCTAGGGGCTTTTGGTCCAAACCAATATTTGGGTTGGTTTTAGGAATTAAACCACGATATATTGAGAAAGAGAGCAAGATTGGTGATTTTGCTTGCCCTCACTCTCTCTCTCTCTCTACCAAAAAGCCCTAGACCCAAAGCCATTTTTGGGCAACCTGTGGGACATTTCTGGCCACTTATTTGGGACTCTATCGTCCCAATTATGTATGTTGTATTTTATTTTTTTTATTTGTTTGATTTAGATTCTAGGAAGTTAAAACTAGGATTTTTATTATGTTGGTTATAGGGATTAAAACACAATACTTAGAGAGAGATAGAGAGTAAGATTGGTGATTTTGCTTGTCTCTCTCTCTACTAAAAACCCTAAATCCCAAAGCCATTTTTGGCAACCTCTAGGACATTTCTGGCTGCTTATTTGGGGCACTATTAAGTCTCGCAATTAAGTATACCGTATTTATTTTTTGATTTGCTTGATTAGATTCTAGAGACATTAGAAAGAAAAAAAACTAGGGTTTTAACGGGTTTTGGAAAAAATGAAATTCTTTTAAAAGATTATAATAAATTATATTTAAGGATGTGTAGTCGGCTTATTGTAGTCATATATTGGTTTTTTGGGTTGAGTGTTATAGGTTTAGGGTAAGTTTTGTGCATATTTATGCCACAGCTAATTAGTTTATTAAGTTTTTTTGTGTTCATTCTTTTTTTTTTGTTGAAATACTTCAATTGAAAAATAGAAACTATTGAACTATGGAAAATGTTCCATAGTTCAGTTTTGTGTGTTTTCAATTTTTTCTTATTTTAATATGAATAATCTAATATTTTTTGTTCATTTATTTTTAATTTTGGTTTTTATATTATTTCTATGGAACAACAGACGAATACAATGGATGTATTTTGGTGCTTATTCAGGTTTTTTTTTTTTAAGTATTCGAGGTCTCAGCATGAGTTTTGACTTTATGGAAAGGGTAAGGGATTTTTGTGTAAGTTTTTGTAAAAAAATAAGGTTTTTAAATTTCAATAAAACTTAAATTTGCGATGGTTTTGTGTGTGTTTTATGATGTGGAACTGTTGCACTTGCATGTGGTTGTGATTTCTTGATTAAGATTTGTTAATTGGTATTAGTGGTGGTTCACGAACTAGACCTTTGCCAGTATAGGTAGGTGTAACCAGTGCCTTGATTGTGGCTTGAGTGTAGAGGTTTGGGTAGTGAATTGGGTGGTTGAAAAATGTCTTCATCTAGATTTGATGAAGCTAAAACAACTGGGTTTGGGGTTATGCAAATAGAGCTTCGGATGGGAAAAATATAACAATGTTTGCTTATATTATAAACAATAAAGGGAGGATGCATACACCAGGCCAAGGAGCATTTGGCTCACAAGTATGGCAATGTGAGAAAATTACCTGAAGTACCTACAATATCATATGCGAAATACAAAAGAGGATTGCGGATCACAACAATGAGAAGCAGAGATGGTAAATAATCTCAACCTACCCCAATGCAGACATACGATTTAGATAAAGAAAAGGAGCCTCAGTCCACAATGTAACCAACCTAAGAGGACAGGGGGCGAGAGAACGTGCAACGAGTGCAACTAGTAGGCTCTAGGAAGCAAGGCGGGATAGGATATTGTTTAACACCAAGGACCAACAAACATCAGGTGCCTAGCTGCAACCAAAAGTGTGTTGGTTGAGGAGAAAGCGGTAGAAAAGGCATGCATGTTTGCTATCCAGTGGATGTATAATGTTGCCATGCCTTTTAATGCCCTCAATCCCTTCTACATTCCACCTGTGCAGGATGCAGTGACATCCATAAGCCCAAGGCAAAAGGCCCTTACTTCTATGACACTAGAAGTTAGCTGTTGAAAAGAATGTGGAAGAGGTAAAGGGTGATATAGAGAGACACAGAAAGATATAGGCTAGTCAGGGATGATGAATCATGCTGATGGGTGGACTGATGAGAGAGAAGAACAATTGATTAAATTTTTGGCGCATTGTCACTACGGTGACGTATTCTTGAAGTCGGAAGATGCCTTTGATATATTGAAGATATGTTAGGAAACTTTTTTTATTGAAGGAGGTTGCAGCTGATGTGCGGCTACATAATGTAGTCCGATTTGTTACAAATATTGCAAGCAACCAGTATAAGACACTAGTCTCTTAGCAAGGTAGCTAGTTGAGTTGCTTGATTCCCTCTTAATTATGCCGGCGATCCAAGAAGCAACTATGCCAACGGTATAAGAATCTACTCTAGTCTAAATTAGAAATCGCGGAGACTAATGAGAAAAAAGTAGCCATTTTTTAATTAATTGAATTCATTCATTTGTTTTGTTATAGAAAAGGAGAGCCCGAGTCAAAATGAGAGAATTTTCTTCTCATTTAAGAGCATTAATTACTAAAAAGCAGTACAGATGCAGAACACACCCCTTGGAGCCGTAGTGGTACGAGAGTCCAAACCAACTCCCTTGAGTCAGTGCCAAGCCAAAAAAGAGGATAACAACAATAAATATGAAAAATAATAAAAAATTGCAAAAACAACAATGATAAATAACATAAAAGGCATATGAACAATGAGAAAGAAGCTTCCAAAAAATAGAAAAAATAGAAAACTAGTCAAAGATCATTTTTCTCAGAAAGAGAGAAAAAATAGGAAAAATATAAAATATACAAAACACAAAGTATATAAAAAATTACTTGTAAATCAATTATAATTTATTAGTCAAAGATTTACTTGATTATATGTAAATTATAGAATTAATTTTAATCAATTATACAATTAATTATAGAAATATTTCTTTTTTTTGAGAAAGGGCAATATTCATTAAGATAATGGAGTACAGCAGAAAAGTAAAAAGAAGAGAAAGGAAACAAAAAAAAATTATAAAATTAATCCTAGTCAATTATATATACCCCCCAAGGGGAGGAATATTCCGGGCTAGCCATTCTACTGAGCCCAAGTGACCTAACTTCTGCCCCAGTCAGCAAACAGTACAAGCAACTTTTTCATTATGGGGTAGTTGCTACAAGATCACTAACCCACCATATTTTGGACTTTGTATACTACACATTGCATAATCTGATCCTTGAGGACATTGGGAAGATGGAGGACGTCATAGAAGCTGTAGATAAGGCTAAAAGTATTACAGAATTTTTTCTATTGTCCTCAATCTAATATATGGAAGCACATCAATGCAAAAGAGCTAGTAAAAGCTACAATTACAAGGTTTGCAACTAATTTCTTTACATTGCAAAGCATATTGCAGCAAGAAGATGGTTTTAGAGCTATTGTCGCTTCAACAGCATGGTTGGATAATCAGCTTCAAAAAAAAAAAAAACAGCTTGCTTGGATCATGTATGGAGAAGAAGGAGTAATAAGAGTGTCATGGTGGGGTTCATTTTGAGTAGCCAATTTTGGAACACAACTGCCAATGTGATTAGAGTCATGAACCTTAAATAGTGATACCAGGCTTGTCATGGGTTATATCTATGAGGCAATAGATAAGGCAAAGGCGGCTATTGATAAGAGATTGGATAAGTAGTTCATGATTGCATCACCTTATATATGCAGCTGTTTATTGGCATTTTTTATACAACAAATCCACATTTTCCACCCATCTAGAGATTTCAAAAGGCTTCATAGCATGATCGAAATGATGTATCCTGTCAGCCACATGCAAGTAATGACCAGGAAGGAGCTGAGCTCGTATGAGAAGAGTCAAGAAGATTTTGGACAAAAGATGACAGCAAGCACTCATGGTACATTCTCCCAAGTAATTCAATTTATCGTCTTCTAAATTTGAACTTCCATTTTTAAATAAAATACTGATTTCGAGTTTCTATATTTAGAAGTTTGATACAAATTACAATCTCTCACATTGTTCTCTCTTTGTTCAATTTTAGCTGAATGGTGAGAAAGATTTGGTGGGTATGCTTCTAACCTTTAAAGTTTATCATTCATATCCTCAACCAAACTTGCAATGCATGAGGACGTGAGAAGAACTGGAATATGTTTCAAGACATCCATACAGACAGGCGAAACAGGTTGGACCTTAAAAGGCTCTATGACTTGGTTTTTGTGTATATAATTTGAGATTGAAACAAAGGTAGACAACAACTTATAGTACTAGGCTCTTGTACCATTTTTTTGTTATGGTATTACTGTGTAGTTTTAAAGCCATACGCTAGTGAAATAATGTAAAATGTAGGACCATTCAAGAAGTCCACAAGCTTGAACCCCATTGACCTACAAACGAATGATATTCTTGAAGAATGGTAGGCAAGCAAGAGCAACCAGGACCTTAAAGGCATGGAAGATAATTCAGATAACTAGATGGAGATAGAACCACCACAAGGAGGTGACTTTTTAAGTTCTAAGTGCTTGATTTGGATCTTTTAATATTGTATTGGTTATATTTAAGAATCCTAGGCTCCTATGCAAGTATATATCCACTATGGTTGGTTGGTAATACAAAATCTTTCTTATAGGAAGTGGAGATGAGGATTTAGAGGGTTTCAATGGAAAAGATTTTTTTTTTATGAGGATGAGGATGGTGAATGATGTAGATAAATAAGAAGGAGATGAAGATGAAGATTACATATGACTTGCAATTATGTGTTTTATCATTTATACACTATGTAAACTTTTGATTTTGAAGGAAAAGTTTTGTCACAAGGTAACCTTGGATTGCAGCGATTGCTTTCTGGTTTGCTTCGGTGGAGAGTGAGTGTGACACAATTTTGTTGTGGGGCTTTCTAATTTGTATGGATATGGGATTCACTTCACTAATTTACTTGCTTAATGCCCTTCAAATTTTCATTGTTTATCGCTTTAAGAGTCTGTGACTTACGCGGGTGCTTCATATGATATGTATTGTTCATCATCATCCGAGCCTTATATGATATGTATTATTTTATTTTATACTTTTGTCTTCTAATCTTGTTCATTTATGATTCTTATATTTTTTTGTTCTAATAATTACTGAATTCGTTGAATTTTTCTAGATTTTTCAATTTTTCTGTAGATTTTTTCAGTTTTTTGCCTTTTTTATCATTTTCCTCAATTATTTGTATTTTAAATTTTGAATTTTTTTTCTTTTTTAATTCGACCAGTCTGACCTGTGAACTGATCTGGTTCGACTGGTCAAATGAACCAGTGCCTCCACTAGTTTGATCATTGGTCCAGTCCTGATTAAAAATGTATGGTAAAGGCCATGTCCCACCTAAACAGAAAACAAAATGTGTATGATGCCTCTTATAGGAACCACCTATCCAAATCAAATTTTTAGTAAGTAAAAATGTCATTTAATACATTTTCAGGAAATATATAGGGAGCACAAATTACTGAGAATCATCAAGGCATCTCAGTGACCCTATCCACATATAAATCTTGAATAACCCTACTATTGGTTAGCACATTGTGAAGCAACTACAGCTATTACCAAAATGGCCAAAATAATCTCCTCCATTTGGGCACCATCTTGAGCATGTGAAATTAACAAGTTTTGCATGCTAGTCTAACTTCATAACATATTTACATGTAAGCTCATCATGAACACGGATAGCTACATGGAATTTCTACACAACCTACATATTCCAATTGAAACAGAAAGGGTGCTGATGGCATACAGATTCAAAGCATCACCATAAAATTCATTTAACTTACACACGCCCAATTGAATGCATACACTAAATCAGTATTCTGCAGGGTGATACCTAATTTCATATTTTTAAAGAAATCGAAAAATTCTGCACTCTACTATAAATACTTCAACAAGTAAAATGGAGACAACAACAACTAGAACAATGTCACTATGGCCCGCTAGAAACCCCTGCTGCTGAAATTTGTAAAACTTTTCCAGGACAAACACAATATAGGCTCGCTAGAGAAGATGCGGCAGGGTATGTCCTTATTAGACATCCCATCTCTTCAGGGAAACAGGTTCACAGGTGAGTGGGTTCAGGTTCACCAGAAGGAGAGTAACTTTGCTCATGGTTTCTAGCCACTTCCCCAGAGACATTCTAGCAAACCATTAACACAAGGGGTACCTCCTTAATTAATCCTCAAAATCTTATGCCTCCTTTCTAATGACCCTTGCCCAGGGAAATCAATGAAAAAGGAGCCACAACTCAGGGCAATTGCCTTCTCTTGGTTGTGTTATGAAATTAAACCTCAATGGCTATCACCTTAATGAAAAAGGCCTCAGTATGACAAACACGTGTGTTCTTCACAAGATGGAGGAGGAACCTCTGCACCATCTCTTCACCCAATGTAGTAGCTAACCTCGACATTTGGAGAGGTATGCATTCCTTGTTTAGCTACTCAATGATGAACATATTTTGTTTTCATCATTACCGCATGACTGAGTGTCAGTGAGATAGGAGAGAGATCAAGCTCTACGGTGGGCATGTTTCAGGGCCACCATCTGGATGAAATGAAAGGAAAATAAAATAGTTATTTTTTACTTTTTTTTTTTGGGTCGAAGTACCAGCCACCAGGAGATAAATCAATGTGACTTAAGAGGGACCCAATGAGTTGGAATTCCATTAACTAGCACTGCAGAGACGAGAGCTCAAGAACCGTGATAATCTTGGACTCAAGTCGCTGTGGATTATAAGGATGGAAACCATCAACGAAATAAAAGTCCCTCCACCCCTTTGGGGGTGAATCTAATAAAACCATATTTGATGCATGCTCAAAAGGAGACCCAGATCCAGTGGTTGAGTGGTTCCTTAGGAATAGTGTAGAGTTCTGACATTTAATGCAAGGTATCTAGGGGAGGAGGGGTCGGCTAAAGCAGATGAGAAATATGCATTTTAAGAACAGGTTTTTTAGAGCACTCTTTTAAGGTGATCCCCTCAATGTCATTAAATGGTGCATAGGTGAGTCATGAATCCCGTGGGATTTGTGTCGTTGGAGAATTAGGCGTGTGAAGAACGACATGTGTTTCTAATAGTTCCACTATGCTCCTAGGAAGCTAAGTCCCCAGCCATAGCTTAGCCAAAAGATGAGTCAAAACAGTGACTTTTGAAAGAGTAGAATTTCATACTCAGGGACCGGTTTTGTTGTATGCAATACATGATACTACTTTTCAGTTATAGTTTCTTTTCCCAAGTTAACAACATCTTTACATTAATCAAAAGAAAACAGTGATCAAATTTCATAAAACGAAAAAAGAGCTTATTGCATAGTCATTGAGAATAGATACATAGAGGCAGGCTCAGTAATTCACAGTTCCTCCTAGTCAGTTTCTATTAAATCTTCAAAGAGACACAGTTCCCAAAGAATGCGTCATAGGATATCAAGAACATATAAAGCTTCTATTAGAAGGAAAACAAATGAATGAAAAATTTCCATGAATCTTGATAATAAACTTATATAACATCCAATCAGTGGAAAACATTTCTGCACTCAAACCTACCATAAACTGGCGTCCATCAGGCCAAGCAGACTTGTTAAAGCGTTTCACAGCTATCCGGCGGTGATTCTCCAGCTTTCCTTTATAAACAATATTGGGAGCTTTCTCCCCATGTTCTGACACAATATTATCGGAAGCAAAACCAGATGTAGCCACCCTAAGCTGCTCGAAAGAATACTCACCAAATTCAGGCAAGTTATCCACTTCTCTAATGCCCCCATTCTCTGCAACAAATGACACCAACTCTCATAATTGCTCTCAAGACCACAGTAAACCATGTCTATAGTTTATGCCAGTCCATGTGTGTATAAAGGAAGAAAAATGAGTGATTCATTGTTGTGTTGGTGTAGAGTGCGTGTGCCAGTGTGTGTGTGTTGGTCTCTCTCTTTTTTCTTTTTCTCTTTTTTGAGAATGTTACCACGCACTGGACAACATTTTCCTAAGAATGGCAGTATACTTAGGGACCTATAGCATTTTGATAGATGTACCATAGGTTCCATTGCACTAATAGAATAGGGAAAGAAAAAGAGTATGATGATAAATTTTGTTAACCCATTTGTGCCCATAGGAAAGAGAGAGAGAGAGCAGAGGATTGAACTTATTAGTTCAATCCTATGTTCCCATAGGTTCTATGCATCTTATTAGTATGGAAATCCAATTCTCCCTCTGTTAACAGTATTAACAGAGCCCATATAGCAAATGGAGCCCATACTAATAACAGTATAAGTATTAACAGAGCCCATAGTGCAAATGGGCTCCATTGTTATTAGTATGATATTAGTATTATGTGAGCCCATAGTGCAAATGGGCTACATTGTTATCAATATGGTATTAGTATTATGTAAGCACATAGTGCAAATGGGCTCCATAGTTCTAAATCAACGACGGGCATAGTGCTCCATGGTTGTGCATCTTATGTGCCCATAGGGCACATAGGCCCACTATGGAGCACTATGCCCACATGTGTTGAATTTGTTTTCACTGTGGATTGTTTTCCCTATGGAGCACTATGCCTATATGTTGGTATAGAACTATATGCCCATATGGAGCAGTATGCCCATATGTTATATTCATATATGGAATATGGCCTAGCGCATAGCACATATGCACATATAGCATATGTGCATATGCACATACGGTCATATAACACATATGGACATATGATGCACATATATGCATATAAGCACATATGCACATATATGTATACATACATGCACACGTATGCACAATATGCACGGATATACAAATGTGCACATATAACATATGGGCACAGTACTATGCCCATATGAGCACTATGCCCATAGGGAATAAGTGCATCTAAATCAACATACGGGTATATATATGCCCATACGAGAACTATGCTCCATAGTTCTAAATCAACACATATATGCCCATTTGGGCATAGTTCTAAATCAAAACATATATGCCCATATGGGCATAGTTCTAAATCAACACATGTGCCCATTGAATTTTTTCCCCTATGGAGCCCATAGGGATGGGATTGGATTGCACTATGAGCACATAAGATGCACTATGGAGCCAACAGAGAACTATGGATTGTGCATTCTAAATCAAATGTGAGCCCATAGTGCATAGTTCAATCCATATGGGCTCTGTTAATACTAATAACAATCCATAGGATTGAACTATGGGCACTATGGATTGTGCATAGAGCACATACTAATAACAGTATTAACAGAGACATTCTAAATCAAATGGAAACCATGGGCTCTAGGCACAATCCCTGCATATATATATATATGTGTGTGTGTGTGTGTGTGTGTGTGTGGTTATGTTAGGGTGCTCACACTATGGAATAATTTATCATCGTACTCAACAAAATTTGGACACTTATACCCTTGTTTTGTACCTGGAGCTTTTTTTTAGTAAGGGTATTTGTGGTCATTAGGAGGGGTGTGTCCATGTGGATGACGTCACACCCCTCCTAATGACCACAAATACGCTTACTAAAAAAAAGCTCCATGTACAAAACAAGGGTATATAAGTGTCCAAATTTTGTTGAGTACAATGATAAATTACTCCATAGTGTGGATAATGTCTAGATGTGGGTGATGTCCCACCCCTTATAAATGACGTCACATCCCTCTTAATGACAAAAAATACCCTTACTAAAAAAAAATTTCATGTACAAAACAAAGGCATATAAGTGTCCAAATTTTGTTGAGTACAATGATAAATTACTCCATTGTGAGCACCCTAACATAACCCATAAATAAATAAATAAATAAATATATATATGTATTTTTATTTTTTTTTTGGTCTAAGAGGGTTAGTTATTGAACCTATGGACGACAGGAAAGGGAGAAAAAAACAAGATGGGAAGATCGAAGAAGGAGGGCGAGTACAGTGCTTAACCGCCAACAGTCCACCGAGATATCATTTTAAGGGTTGCGACTAGCTGGACCTCTTGGTCAAATCAGCTACCGGAACAATCAACAACACCAGATGGTGTCCCTCACTGATATTACGCTCACAATAAAAAAAAGCTTCGATATCTCGAGTTTCGTCCGAGAATAGGGTTGAAAGAGTTCATTAAAGAACTATTAAAGTGCAATGACTCTATCGAGTTTGGTTAACTAATTTGTTTTACACAAGCAAACACAACTTCACTCATATTCCATTTGAGGCAAAAGGGGTACATATTTATAACCAAAGCAAAGCAAAAATTAGCCAAGAATACCACACATGGGCAAAAAGTAATACCACCCTAAAAAAGCAAAAACAAAATCACACAGTACATCAGCACATCCACTCGTCATTCATTCTTACATCCACTCAAAAAGTAGAAGCAAATAAATAGTACATTCATTGTTTAAAAAGCAACACTATTTGTAAAAAATAAAACCACTCTCTTAAAGTAATACCACTAGAAAAACCATGGGCTGCTTTTATTCAGGATATTGTGAAATGACTTTGGTAATTCTTATATTTCCTCTTCATAATTGATGATGCTACAGTATTCTCCATGATGTAATACACATAAATGTTCTCTAATTCGACAACTATAGCATTTTTTTAACATTTTTATATAAATGGTCTAATAGTTGTATTGTTGAAGGTGGCCTTATGCTAGATGCTTCATGATTGTAAAGCAATTCATCTTTATATCTCCAAATATATCCAAATAGCTGCCCGAGGACTAACTCAATGAGTCCCACAAGCATAGAATCCGTCGCTTTAAGTAAAAAGAATAGAAAATTGAAGCCCCACGAAGCCGACGAAGGGGCACAAGCTGATCAAAAGTTCCGTCAAATATTTGCATATTTGCATAAATCCTTTTTCCAATTTGTATATCCTAATAATTTTGTTATGAAATCTCTAGCAGTGTTACTAGGATATAGATGTCTTCTAAAAAATATCAATTCATCTAAGACTTCCTTTTTAATAGTCCAGGCAATTAGTTCAAGTTCTAAGGCTGTCCATTTGAAATTGTTTATAACTATACCGATTCTTCTAGCAGAAGTGAAGAAACAATCTATGTTAAGGTAAGACCCTATTGTTGAATCAATGTTCTCAGGTTTAGGAGAGAAATAACTCATTATTTTTTTACAGAAGTTTTGTCTTTCTTCTGAGGTTTCTAGAGGCCATGTTAGCCACTCATCTTTTTGAATTGTTCTTATCATCTTCTTTTCTCTTGTAAGGGCATCTGGAAGATGATGTTATGTTCCTGGGACTTTCTCAACTGAAATTTTATATTGGAAAAAGATGAACTACCACCATGCATAACTCTGTAATTTTGGATTGCTGATAATTTTCTTTTTCATCACACTGACCAAATTTTTCTCCTATTAAACTGGTGTGCAACTTTTCGACTCCTCTTACTGCAACCGAAATTTCCTTTTCTACAGGCTAATAAATGTCTCCTCTCCATCTTATTAGTTCATCTCTCTCCCTCAATTAATTCGTCTAAGAAGCCTCAAAACGGTTTTGACTCAATATCCCAAGTTCTTCCAATATTTTTATGTTATCTTCTCTATTCTATTGTGCGTTGTGTTAATTAAAGGACTATCCAATCCGTTGCTCTCTCTCTCTTTTCTATCTCTTATTACTTATTGTCACTCAGCTCTCTCTAACTCTCTCTAGTCACTCTCGAACCGTGCCTCTTAATCCCTCTTCCTCTTTCTAGTATCAGAGCTCATAAGTCCAATCCTTTTGCTCCCTCTTTCTTTCTCTATTATTTCTCGTAGCAAAGCATGGTGGAAAAAGATCTACCCTATCAAAATGGCTTGTGAGGCTATGTAAGGCACTCAATCAAGTTAAGAAAAAGGGAAAGCTTTGAAATTAAAGAGATTTGATTTCAATTAAAAGAATATGTAAGAAAACTATGAGAAAGAAAGGCAAATATATTACATTTTTCATATTATCTTTATTTGATGGGATTAGATTTAGGAAGTTGAAGGATGAAGTTCCAACACCTTCCTTTAAATCATGATGGTTGATCTAAAGATTGTATGGCTCAAATCTCTAACCCACGGGTCTCCTATTATTAATGGTCTAGATCTAATCTCCATAAGGATGGTTAACCCTAAGAAAACTAACCCTAAAAAAAGTTTATAAACAAAGACCCAAATCTCTACAATTCTCAACACCTCTCATCTATCTCTCTCTTCTCTCTCTAGGTGGCACACCACCCTCTCTCTAAGATCTCTCTCCATCACTCCCTTAGAAAATATTGGGTTAGTAAAATTAGGGGGCACACCCCACCTAGATCCAAGAGAGGGGCACACCACATGCACTAAGGCATTGAGGCCCAATTCTTGTTATGATTTGTTCCATAACTCTTATATTAATTAAGGGTTATAGCCTATGGTTTCTCATGCTTCAAAGATCTAAGATAGACCATTGATCCCTTGTGCCATTGAAGGAGGAGACCTTGAGTGGGGTGTGCAAGTCCAGTTGAGGTAATCTTCTAGCATTCTTTTTGTGATATGCAGTCTTGTGTTTTCTTATTCCCATGAATATTATGCAACTTTTGTTTATTGAATAAAAAGAGTTTTATTAGTGGCAGCAAGTGAGAAACTCTTTTGGTTGTTTATTTGTTTTATTTTGAGTTTATTTAATTGTAATTGGACATTTGTAAGTGTTCTAGTAGGGTATAAAAAAAAAGATTAAAAACTGCATATATCGTGCTAGTTCACCTCGTCCAACTTTCAGAGTCTCGAATTGAAAAAATCAAACGGAGTTTTCAAAGCGATTACAAAGGAGACTTTAAAAAAAAACCATTCAATGAAGAAGAGATTTCAAAAGAAAATATATATCAAATTTGAAAAATGGTGCATTCTCAAAATCTTTTACTGGTGCCAGCAAAAGTTGTAATAGATGGAGGCGAAAATGGGAAAAAGATAAATGATATCTCTAGATACTGACGCTAATATAAATTTTTGCACCAAAGAAATATAGAAAAGTTGGGTAAAATAGTCACAAAGACAAGAAGTTGATACCAAGAATGGTAGAAGAAAATTAACAAAATTTGCCATTAATGTTCCTGTTAAAATTGAAGACAATGTGATTTTGGTAAATTTTATTAATATTGAGGATGAAGAATATCAAGCACGAACAGGCTCTATGACTCTAGATGAAATAAGCCCTTACATTGTCAAGAGACTTGATAATTTTTATTATAAAAGGAGAAAAAGAAATTGCACCTCAAACTCCACCAACTTTCAAAATGAAGACAAACAAAATTAAAACAATCCTTCTATAATAAAAATTATGAAAGATGCTCATAGTTTGGAAAAAGAACATGAAAAATATCAAATTATCAGACAAATAAAGGGCATGAGCTTAGAAGCCAGTTCAAAATTGGTTGATATAAGAGAAAGGGCATGAAGAAGAATTACCAGAGTCATTTCACAATATTTTGAATAAAAGCTACCCTGGTTTTCTGAATGTTATTACTTTAAGATAGTGGTTTTACTCTTTACAAATAGTTTTATTTTTTAAACAACAAATATTATTTGCTTTTGCTTTTTGAGTGAATGTAAGAATGAATGACGAGTGGATGTCTTGATGTACTGTGTGGCTTTGCTTTTTTTTAAGGGTGGTATTATTTTCTGCCCATAGTTTTAGCACGTTGTTTTATAAACCATCGTGTGGTATCTTGGGCTACTTTTTGCTTTGCTTTGGCTATAAATTGACCCCCCTTCAAATGGAATACGAGTGAAGTTGTGTTTGCTTGTGCAAAACAAATTGGGTAACCAAGCCCGATAGAGTCATGGCACTCTAACAGTTATTTAGTGAACTCATCCAACCCCGTTTCTATACGAAACTCGAGATATCGAAGCTCTTTTTTATTATGAGCATAATATCAATGAGGGCCACCATTTGGTATTGTTGACTGTTCTGGTAGTTGATCTGCCTGAGAGGGCCAGCAAGTCACAACCCTTAAGAGGATATCTCGATGGATTGTTGGCGGTTCAGCATAGTACTCACCCTCCTTCGTCTATCTTCCCATCTTTTTTCTTTCTATGTCTCATGTTGTCCATAAGTTCAACAAGTAACCCCCTCAGACAAAAAAAAAAAATTAGTAGCTGAAAAATGCGCTTTTTGAAAATGTTGTGCTCAAAAGCCAGTAGTTTTTCTTTTAATTATATATGTTAAAAAGTTGTATGTTTTGCAAATAATTAATTTAGAGCACACTCTTTGGCTCTAAATTATTTTTGAAAAAGAGGGAGAGCAAAGGATTGGATAATCATTTAATTATGGTTCCCAATCATCTAGAGCAACGGAGACCTATAGGTTCGAAGCGCATAGGATTCTTCTCAAATTATGGGATTGAATCTATAGGCTCTGATACCATAAAGTGGGAGAGGTGTTCAAAACCCATAGGTACAAAAAAAACAAAAAGAGGATTCTTTACACAATCCAAAGAATTTTTAGAACTATGGGTTCTTACAATAGGTAAGTTCAGAGCCGATAGGTTCAATCCCATAGTTTGAGAAGCAAAATCATATTAGTTCAAGAGCTCTGTTCATTTTTTTACAATGTGCCCATAGGGAACATTAGTTTCAGAGCAATGAAGCCCATAGGGAATGGATTGCGCATCTTATGTGCCCATAGTGCTCCATAGTGCATCTTACATGCTCATAGTTGATTCAGAACTATGGACATAAGTGCACATATGATTTAGAACTATGGCCATAGTTTTAAATCAACACATATGTGCTCCATAAGGATGGGATTGAATTGCACTATGCTCCATATGGAAATAAGAGCTCCATATGGGCTCTATATGGCATATAGTTCTAAATCAGAAGTGCAGATATGGGCATATATGCATATAATATATGGGCATAGCACTATGCCCATATGTGCATATGTGCATATATTTTGATCCAGATGCACTTATGCCCTACAGGCATAGAACTATGGAGCACTATGCCCATATGTTGATTTAGATGCACTTATGATTTAGAACTATATGCCCATGTGGGCACATAAGATGGGCCCATATGGACACATAAGATGCACTATGGAGCACTATGCCCATATGCAGATTTAGATGCACAACTATAGGCCCATAGGGCATGTGCCCATGTGGGCACATAAGATGGGCCCATATGGACACATAGGATACACTATGGAGCACTATGCCCATAGGGATTAAATTATTTTCCTACCCATAGTGCCTAGAGCCCGTAGTGCTCTATGCACAATCCATAGGGCTCCATTTGCACTATCCATGAAACCTATGGATTGTGCAATGAAGCTCATAGGTCTCCATTTGATTTGTGCATAAGGCTTTATTTGCACTATGCATAAAACCTATGGATTGTGCAATGGAGCCCATAGGTCTCCATTTGATTTGTGCATAAGGCTCTATTTGCACGATGCATAAAACCTATGGATTGTACAATGGAGCCCATAGGTCTCCATTTGATTTAAAATGTCTTAACCATGGGATTGAACCTATGGGCTCCCTCTTTTTTTCCCTATCCAAATGTCTCTAACTACGTCACCTGTTGTCCATAGTTCAGCGCCAAACATCTATCAAAAATGGCTTCTGCATTCCTTTATTAGATATAATAAACATATTTTTAGATATAATTTTGCAAACATCTTAAACAGTCAGAGGGCTGTAGAGAGAGATGGGGGTTGTTGGTCTCTAAAGATATCAGAATACCTGAAATAACTGTAAACCATTATGTGGTTCTATGCTTAAAATATAGCTATAAATATGTACCCCCTTTCTGGTAGTTAAAAAGAGTATAAAGTCCCGCACTTTTTTCTTTTTCTTTTTTTTTTTGAGAATGTTGACCATATATGCATTATACAATAAGATTACAAGCTCTACAATTAGGTGTCTGTATTTCTGTTACAAAGAAATAGATTTCGAGGAAATACACCATTTCCTGTGTTTGGGTTTGCATATCATAGGCAGGAAATGGAAACACAATACCTATGATCACCAAAAAATCGTGAAATTCATTTCACACGCTAAGGGTTGAGAAATCTGTTACGGTGCCTGACGGGTAATGTGAGTCATGTTGGACCTGCCAGAAAATATAACTATGATTTGGGGTCCAGTTAAAAAACCTAGCTCCCCCTCTCATACACAGATAGCCCTTCTCTCTCAACTCGCATCTCTCATAAACTCTAGCAGAGCCCTCTCAACAGGCAACTCCATGCCCCATAGTTTCTCTCCCTTTCCTGGGAAGACCCCCCCCCCCTCCCTGTCTCCCTCTAAGCCCTCTCTCAGTAATCCACCTCCTTTCTCTCTGTATCTCTCTATATGGAAACCAAGCTGAGCTTATGTATGCATCGTGACACTTACTTGACTGGGAGCTTGTTACATCAAAATGGAGAAACCCAACCCTAGTTTTTATGAAAACTCCAATAGTAACCACAATTAAGGAGATTTGGAGTCCTGCTGCTGCTTTTGAGCTGCGTCTAAACAATACAAGCCCATAACCCTAGTTCCCTTCTACTATTGCAAAAAATATAAGCTCGTAACTGTTTACTTGACTGTATTTTGTAAAAATAGTAGCTGGAAGCATCGACTCCTATCATAAAAGACAGTAACAGAAAAATAAACTAAATTGCAAGTCTTGGAACTTCATTTGAGCTATCATGGACTAAATGAGCACAAAAAGCCCTAATTTTTCTCCATTACAAAGAAGAAGCCCTAGAAATGGAAGCATAGACTGACCTTTGCGAAAGCTTTGGTTAAGAAACACGTAGCTATACCATTGAGAAGAAGAAAGGCCCAAAAATAATATTATGAGAATATTCTTCCAAGGGTGAAGCAGTTCAGCCTCTAATGTACTTCCTCATTTCAACAATTCATCAACTCAGCCAAATCAATTTCAATTTTCTCTAACAAAAGAATGTCTAAGAGCCATGTTTGAAGGAAAACTATCAATGCATACTACATCTTTGTAATGAAGGAAATGTATCGTGGCCATTAAAGTCAACCTTCTCCAGAAAAAAGTATTGCTGGATATTGCTTTCTTTACGTAGTTAATGAAAACCACCAATAGAATGTCTTAAGGTAGAGTAGCATGCATATAGTTAATACCAATTAAGCACAATTCAAAAATAAATAACAGGCAAAGGAGAAAGGCAATGTAAATCCATTACATACCAGCATCAGGAGCCTCAAGGACCGTCGAATTAAGCGGAGAAGTCCAGCAGCAAACAGTGAACTTAGAGCAGCTGGCTCCCATTCTTAATAAACCACAATTTACGTATGAATTTTAATCTGCTCTTCTTAGTTGCCTATTTTTTGTTTTCCTCGTCTTGATCACCTATTTTGCATCCCAATACTGAATTATTCATTCTTCTGTAAACAAATTATACACAATAGGCATAAGGCCAATGTCCTCCCATATACCTTGAGAAAGTGAATTTCACTAAAAATTTGGCACTTTGAACTTCGTCCTTTCTTCAAACAGTTTAGACCAACTATCAATAATCTCAAATAAAGAAATACACAAATTGTGAATACTAGATATCCAAGTTATATGGGTATCAATATACAAGTATATGCACACTACGAGAACAACCCCTGGTTCAATTCCCTTCAAGAAATCAGCTGAGTTCCCTTTAAAATTTACAGTTATGACAACCCACTGCTAAATCACACTCCTGTAACCAAAATTCTTTAAAATACTTAACCCACGGTCTATTTAAGAGCACATTAATTCTTCTGAAAACTTCACTACTTACAATTATGACAACCCACTGCTAAATCACACTCCTTTAACCATATTTCTTTAAAATACTCAGCTCACGGTCCATTTAAGAGCACATGAATTCTTCTGAAAACTTCACTACTCTCCTTGGAACCCTTGAAGGGAAACAGAACCTCAGGGAAAGGCAGAAACAAGCATATAAATCAAATCACCTGCAAACCCCTTTGGGTTCAAAGTTATGCTAAGAATTCACTATCAAGCTCACTTTCAGGCCTTCTCCCCACTGTTTCCCCAATACTTCAGTTTCCACTTCCCTTGAATGATATGAAACTTAAGGAAGATGGCCTCAGATTCCCTTTCAATTTGGAAAATGCAGAGATCACAACACTTTAAATAATCTTACTTTTATGAAGTATTTCTCTCTCTCAAGTCCTCAATTGACCAAGCTGCAAAGTTAACAAAACAGATTGATCCGTCAGAAATGGTGAAAAAGATAGGATGAAAGACTCTAATTCAAATATCTTATAATCAATAAGAACTCTTCTAACACAATTCGCCAGAACTAATTTAGCTTAGACTGAGGAACAAAGAAAATTTATAAAGAAATCGAATTTGAGAAAATTTTCATCAAACTACCTTTCAGATGGCTTCTCCGAAGCTGAAAATAATCAAAATTAGAAAATCAACGGGTCTCATCAAAGGAAAACCTAAATAATTTGTTTCAAAATTAGCTTGTTTTTCAATTCTCCAAGTGATAACTTGCTTCCCCTCCTCCATAAAAAACAAAAAAAGACAGGATTTCATCTGTTTAATCACGCTTTATTCTCTAATTTTCAATGTGGAAAAAGCCCGAGCTGAGAAGTACACAAAGAGAGACCTCAATATAGAAATCGACAAATCGTTAAAAGGAGCTGACGAGAGAGAAGCCGAGAGAGATTTAAAGAACCTGGAGAGATAATTGAAACCTAGAGAGAGAAAAGCGAACCTGATTCAGACGATAGAGAGAGAATAACCATGAATAGATAGAATTTCAAGAGCCTAAAGATAGAGCTAAAGGGCTGCAGAGAGAGAGTTAAGGAACTGGATTTAGAGAAAGAGAGAATGTACTGATAAGATAAATAAAGTTAAGGAATTGTAGAGAGAGAATTAAAACCCAGAGAGAGAAACCTGATGCAGTCGATGCGGTATCATCCCCATGCATCCCCCACTTCCTGCATCAAATTCGCTGTAAAGACCTGTATTTATTCCTGTCAAATGACAAACATAGCCCAGTCGTTTATTAAAATGACTAAAACATCCCAGGTCGTGCAAGAAGTGGCGAATCACGCCTTTTAAATGACTTTTCAAGCTATCCACTTGATAATTCCTCTAAAACATTTACTATGGTTGGTAAAAGACACAAAAAGCTCTCACCTTTTGCGTAAAGTACAAAGACACTTCAAACCTTCCAAAAATAATTAAGGGCACGCACGCCTTGTTCGTGTCACGTAAAACACAATCCTTTCTTGTAGTCCGATAGGAGAATATTTTCGTCTCAATTAGAAATTGATTGGTGTGAAAAGATGTAATGAGATTAATTAGTGTGAAAATATTTTCACACCTAATCATGATAAAATTCTTTCACATAAATTTATTTTTTGAAAAAATTTCACATGAAACAAAGATGCCTTACAACTTAAGTGCTCATATTGACTTATAAATTTAATGTTCAAGTTTGTGATTATATAAAAAAAGTCAACATGAAGACTTTACAAACCTTAGAATGTCAATAATAGCATAAGAGGCTTGCTGACTCCCTCCATGGCAAAGCAATATGCTATAGCAATCTTTTCTATGCTAACATGGTTGAATGAGCTTGCAATGTATTTGATTTCATACAATATGGTTTGTAAGTCTCATGGAACTATTGTTTATCACTTACAAACATATAACTTGTGCTTGTTTGGCAGTAGTTTCAGAACCGGTTCTAGAAAGGGGGATAAAATGGAAGCCAGCACTTCCATGACTCCTATAATGGAAATGTTTAGTGGTTTTGACTTCGGAAGCCAAAACTTCATTGAAACACACATGCTTTTATGAATCTCCATCAACCACCGCATATCGATGTCTATTATAGACTAAAGACTTCCTTATGGATTATCGACTAAAGATTTTCTGGTGCTCCTCGGCTTCTACTTCATTTGCAGTGCGATTGCTCCTGAGACTAAGTCCAGATGTCTCTTCCCAAGTGATCTCTAACTACCATCAAAATTGGAACTTATGACCCTGATTTTCAAAAAAACTACCATCAAAATCGGATCTTAGGAGACCACTCAATGGTGGGTCCATTTGTTTGACTAAAAACAATTAAAATATTCCTTAGTGAATTGTATTTCAAGATTGAACCAGTTTGCTACTCCCATAACAACAAAAGACTAATTCAATGGCATGTGGGGCTTTGACCTTGATGGCCCAAGTCTTGAGTGGCTCAAACCTTTACTTTGGCATAAAAAGGTCATGAATATCTCAAGACGTGATATTCAGTGAAATACGAAGTCCGAAATATTTCTTAAAATTCGTATAGAGAATGATGCACCCGAGTCATCTGATTTTACTATTCGAGATTTTTATGATCTATATGAGCAAAAAACAACAATACATTGCCATAAACTTAGGCCAAGGAAAGTAACCGTTGGTATGATCCAAAAGAAACACGAGTCTACATTAGGGTTAATCATAAGCAGCCAAAAGCGTTTATTTTTCTTTCTTTTTTTCATTATTATTTTGTTTTTTATAAACACCCCTCGCAAAAGCATGAATCAAGGGGATGCGTCTTTACTTCAAGCATGTTTTTTGCTAGACATCTTGAACATTGAGACTCAAGCCGGTATCTATGTAATACCCACCCAAATGTCTCCTCAATTAGGTAAATGCCCCTATTAATTTGAACACTTACTCGCGTTACTCTATCCCAAATGCCCTATAAGTTCAGGATTCATGATATGTTTTGACCTAAGTACCCAACTCACCAACTTCTAAAGTCATGTGACTCATTTGAAACTTTAACTTTTTATTTTTTGTACTTTTTTTTCCCAGTTGATAACGATGGGGCAACATAAGTTACCATACTAAAGAGCTAAAATGTCACCAATTTAGAAATTTATAGGTTTGGAAGTTGGAAATTTATCAAAGGAAAGCTTTCTTGGATTCTTCTTTTTATGCAAAATTTTATAAACAAAATCAAGAATATCATGGTCAAGATAAATGTTTGTCATTATATTCATAAGTGACCAAAAATAATTGGGAAAAGTTGGCGACCTAGAAAATTTAAGGAGTCATACGTTATTTTAGCAAAAGATTGAGGATACAAAAGTAATTTGAGCGTGTGTGCGCAGCGCCTTTATTCGGGGCCCAACAAGGAGGGGGTTGAAAGCGTGGCCGCATTTAAGGGCGTTGGCTTCGCCCCCACCAACCCTCACGCCTTTCATTATGTCCTAAATTACCAAACTGCCCCAATGTTTTCTACAAATAACTCATGAAGACACAATATTTCTAATGCCCTTCGTTTTCGCCTTTAAACAAAAAAAAATATTTGATGATGCACTACAAGCACTTGGCTTTGATTGAGATCACACTGGACCCACAGGTTGAATCGGTTGGATCACTTATCAATATCTTTGTTAGTTTGGTTCAAAGGAAAATTGAATTTGAGAAATCCTGTCAAAATCATTCTTTGACCAATTTTGATTGGTTATACTATATAGTTTTGACCAATGCGATCAAATACATAAAAATTAGCAAAATTGTTATTTGTTGTATATTTAAAGTGTTATTTCTATTTTATTTTTATTATTTTCAAATCTAGTTTAACTGCATTTAAATAAATCTTGACTAAACCAGACTCATCATTAATTTAGTGGCTCACCTGATCTAAAAAACATTGAACCGGAATACTTGTAAAACACATAGTGCTACCATTGAATACTAATATTGCTCCTCTAGGGTTTTTGTATTTTATGCTTAGGTCTAGATTTCAAACAGTTTGTTAGCACCTCCCATGTCAACAACAAGCATTTGAAGTTTGTTAGCGGGGAGCTGCTAGCAAATTGCTTAAAATCCAAATGCTACATAAAATATTTTTCATCCACGTAAACATGCATGATTCTATCACAATAATAGGTGGTATAATATTGGTCGATAAGAATTAGAATAAACATAAGGATATATTGATAGATTTTTTTATGCGGATAAAGCAATAAGTATTCAAATTTTTGCTATGCGGAAATATGGAACTAACTCTATTGAACAAGGGTTGCAACACTGATGTCTAAAATCAGCATATTAACTTGTATTCGTGAAAGATAAATAGCAAGAAGAAGATTTATTGAGAAAGGGGTTGGGACGTAGTGGTAGCACCCCTCATATATTAGTTGTACGTTGTAACTTTCATTTTCACTGACATCTAAAAAAAAATTGCTTACCATTTAAAAAACAGGTATGAGCCTATATTCTCCATTGAATTACCCAAATAAAACAAAAAATATTTTCTGTTCCTTGCTGTAAAACATTTTGCAGGTTTTATATGAATGTTTCTGTGGTCTATTTGGTGCCACATGTGTACTTTCATTTTTTGTTTTCAACTCTCCATTATCTCCAAAATTGGTAGTGAAATGTTTAATAAATATTGGAAAATATTCCATGACATGACTGAAATTGACAAGTAGAACTTGGGTTATATTCTACCAACCCACTTTAAAAGATACATGCCTAAAACCATGACAATAAATTCATTTATACTTCTATCTTGAGCATAATCTCCAAAATAATTTTATTTTCTTCAGTCAACACCATAAGGTTTCCAACGAGCGAAATTATTTTCTCAAAAAAAAAAAAAATGACCCCAAATATTCAAAGCCAGGACATGTGGATAATAATTGATAAAGAAAAGGTTTATTTTTTCATACAAGGAGCTGGGGCACTTTGATCATTTGAACAAAACATGAAGGGCATATATGTCATTAAGCTCCATGATCATGGGCTCATGTATCTCTGGTCGGGGTTCTACCGAGCTCAATGTGACAACGAACCCAGCCCATGCCAGGTAGGCTCGGTTGGAAGGGCTCAACAAAGTGGAAAGACATAACATACACAAGTGGGGTATGCCATTTGGTGCACACGACCCACCATCCTTTATCCGTGATGAGGGATTCAATTTAAACAATGTTTCCAAAAAAGGGACTAGTGACCTAGATTGTTTATTGGAAAATCGCTTTGGATCGTGTGGTCTAGATCAATGATATGACTGAGTGAATCAACAATAAAGGATTAAAAAAATAGAGAACAAAATAAAGATTTTAAAAAAATGTGATACCTAGATTAGCCAAATCCTCGACAAAACCAACAAGTTATATCAAAGAACTGGCCGTTTCTTATAAGGAACTAGCCGGTTCTCAATATATAGTGGCAGACTAGCCCCACCATTCCCTGTCCCGGATCGTGAGAATCCGATCAGAATCACCATTTTTTAGAAAGTAGCGCTCAATTAACATTTAGCTGAGGTTAATCCTTACCGATGCAATAAGGAACAAAAGGTGGACATCATTGTAGAGCAACAGATGCCATACTGCACATCCTGGGTAGGGTGCCTTGTTAGAATTTCAAAAGGGATTATATATTATAATTGTTTATTTTTTATACAAAAAGATTACAATCATCCTTGGCCAGCAGATAATAAATCGGGTGGTTTGGAATGTGCCACTTCTTCTAACAAAGTTTGAAAATATTTTTATTGAACTTCAAGTGCATTCAAACCCCCAATTGCCCGATTTTGCATAATAGGTGACTGTAATTTCATGTACCCAAAGATGAAAAGTGTTGTTGAAATGTTTGAACTTAAAAGGTTGTTCAAAATGTCTGAACTTAAAAGGTCGTTGCAAAAGGGTTTACTGTAATCCTTGTCACAAGAAAAACCGTGGGTCATCACCGCTCAATCAACAGTTAGATGGTCGAAGACCGGGAATGGGGCCTAGCACTCGGAATCGTTTCCTCGCGGTTGGGTCTCCTCTCTCGCTCACAATTACTGTCTGGCTATTGACTGATGGTGAGACCTTGAGTGACATGACTATGGATTTTCCATAGTCATGATAAAATAGAGCATATTATCTCATGTGAAGTCATATTTTACTTGGATATATTCTATGTTCAGTTCTTCAATTTCAGCCATTTGAGTTTTAGCCTAGTGGTTTAGTTTGAGTGAGGAAGGTTAAGGGCTCAA